CCCTAATAAAACGATTAAAAAAATGGTTTCCCAATATTTAGTGGCTTCTGAAAATAATTTAAAATGTCTCCTGTCAGACTCAAAGAACATCAAACAAATGATGCAGTGGCTGGGCTGCTATCCAAAGGTTAGCAGTTTGAAACCAGTAGCTGCTCTGTGGGAGAAAGATGAGTCTGTCTACTCTGATAGAGCCACTGTGCCTGAGACCCAGAGGCACAGTTCTACCCTGTTCTGTGGAGTCACCACAGTCTGAATCGATTTGATGTCAGTGAGTTTGGGTTTTGATTTTATCAAACAAGTACTTTAAATAAAACATGTTTATGAAAAAAATTTGAAGTCAAAAGTGAGTTTCTCAATATACAATACAAATCTATGGAAAAAGAAATTTGAATTTTAAAGATTTAGTAAATAGTAAAATCGGTAAATTGAAATGCAATTTTTAACATCCTTTATTTTTCTCCTAACTCTGCTACTCTGGCTTTAACAAAAACTATCTTGATCTAAATAAGAAAAAGACCTTTGCAGTGACTTGTACTAGTTTAACTATCAAAAAATGTGTAAAAGAAAAATTAATAATTTGCCTTTCCAAAGACAAAATATACATTTACATTGAATCCTTGGTTGACCAACTATTTCAGGCCCAAACCGTCCCTTGCAGCAGACGATCTTTTCCCAGTGGAATGTGAAATGAAGGCATAGCAACACGCTTCAGTAGGCCTATGTACACACCATGCATTGACAGGGTTTGTTACAAACATTTCACAATATTTTCAGGTATGTTATGTACAGCATTATCCTACAATGGTAGATAACAAATATGGCAAGCATTCAAAGTCCCTTTGGAAGAGCATATTCTACATACCCGAGTGAGATTTTTTTCTCGCTACTTACTTTTAAAAAAATATGATCTTATAATTCTCCTGAAAGCCTCAAAAGTTATATTTTCCCTTCATCTAAATAAATGTCAAAGTTTCCAATGTTGCCAGTCTAACTTTCACTAAGTATCCTCTCTAAAATTCCTCTAGTTTATTCTTTTTGCTAGTGTGCATTCTGAAACTGGTACAGCCCCTTCCTGGTATCATGGCATCATTGACCTAACTTCTGTTTTGCTATAC